CGGGGGGGTCCATGGGAGGCAATGGGGGGGGTCCCGGCTCACTCCAGTGACTGCAGCATCAGGAGCTGCTTCAGGACCTTGGTCTGACTCGTCTCCCGGATCTCTCCCGCCAGGAACATCTCATCCACCACCGTGTAGACCTGCAGGAGCAGCCCCATGGAGGTGGGGCAGGACCCACACGTGTGGGGTGGGGACCCCAATGCAGCTCCCCCCCCCCCAAAAAGGTGGGATGGGACTCGTGGTCCCCCCCCCTTGGCCTCACCTTATAGAAGTTGAAGACCAGGTCGAGCTCACAGACGTTGTGGAAGTACTCATTGAGGACCTGGGGGCATCCATGGGCCATCATTAATGACCATCGAGTCATTAATTAATGCTAATTAATTAATGATCATTAACATTAATTGATTTATTAAGAACAAGTAATTACTGTTAATTAACTTATTATTGGGTGTAGATTAATTCATAAATGGCCAGTAGCTAACATTAAATTAATTATCATTGATTAACATTAATTAATAATATCGTTAATTAATTTACTAATGGGTGCAGATTAATTTATTAATGGCCATTAGTTAACGTTAAATTATTAATAAACACTAATTGACATTAATATCGTTAAATAATTTATTAATGGGTGTGAATTAATCTATTAATGGCCATTAGTGAAACTTAAATTATTAACTGTTAATTAACATTCATAATAAACTTTAATGGTCATTGAAAAAATTGATGTTATTTGTCACTAATTTCTAATGTCAATTAATTATTAATTGATGTTAATTAATAGCCATTCATGTTAACTTATTAATGACCATTAACGATAATTAATGCACTAATGACAATTGAGTAAATAGTTAAGGGCAACTAACTAATAATCACTAATTAATGGTTATTAATTAACTAATTTATTGATGATCATTAATTTATTAATGAATTTTAATTTATGAATGAATTTTTAACTAAACCCATGAATTTATTAATGATGAATCAGTTAACGTTAATGAATTTATTAATGACCATTAAGCAGTTAACGTTAATTAATAACCACTAACATTAATATTTAGTGGCAAATAACATTAATATATCAGCGACCATTAAATGCCATTAATTTATTAATGCCTGTTAAATAACGTCAATTAAGTTATTAATGCCCGTTAATTGTTGACCATTGATTAGTAACAATTAAGCACTATTAATGACCATGAATTAGCATTACCCAACAGATTAATGCCCATTAATTAGCGCTAATTAAGCTCACCTCCACGAAGTTGTGGATGGCCTCCAGGTAGGCCAGGTTGTTGTCGGTCACGTCCACGCAGATGCAGAAGTAGAGCCCCGCGTAGCGCCGGTAAATGATCTTGAAGTTCCGGAACTGAGGGAACACGTGGGAATGGGACTGGGAATACCGGGAGCAATGGCGGCAATGGGGGGAATGGGGGCAACGGGAGCAATGGGGGCAATGAGGGGAATGGGGGGAATGGAGCAATGGGGGCAATGGGAGCAATGGGGGCAACGGGGCTCATCCCAAGCTCCATCTTTAAGCCTCATCCCCCGCTCCGACCCCAATTCTCACCCCGTCTCCGAGGAAAACAATGGGAATAGGGCGCTTTGGGGCTCAAATCCCGGGATGTGGGCCGGTACCTCCACGAAGTTGGTGTGTTTGGCATCGCGGACGGTGACCACGGCGTGGACCTCCTCGATGAGCTTCTGCTTCTCATCGTCGTCGAACTGCATGTACCACTTGGCCAGGCGGGTCTTCCCGGCCCGGTTCTGGATCAGGATGAAGCGGATCTGCCCCGGGAAGGGGAAAAATGGGATGGGGGGAGGAAAAAAGGGGGAATGGGGGGGCAAATCTGCCCCATCCCCTCTACTGGGGGGGATTTGGTGTCCCTGCCCCCTTAATGTCTTATATGCCCCTGATATGTCCAATACGGAGTCTTATATGGCACCTATACATCCTATAGGGAATCTTATATGCCCCATTTATGTCCAATATGGAGTTCTATATACCGCCTATATGTCCTATAGGGAGTCTTATATGCCCTCTCCATATCCAATAAGGAATCTTATATGCCACCTGTATGTCCTACAGGGAGTCTTATATGCCCTCTCTATATCCAATAAGGAATCTTATATGCCACCTGTATGTCCTACAGGGAGTCTTATATGCCCTCTCACCGCCTATATGTTCTATAGGGACTCTTATATGCTCTCTGTATATCCGATAAGGAATCTTATATGCCACCTGTATGTCCTACAGGGAGTCTTATATGCCCTCTCTATATCCAATAAGGAATCTTATATGCCACCTATATGTCCTACAGGGAGTCTTATATGCCTGCTATATATCCTATAAGGATTATTATATGCCCTTCTATGTGTGCTATACGGAGTCACATATGTCCTCTGTATATCCCACAGGGAATCTTATATGCCACCTATATATCCTATAAGGATTACTATATGCTTCTCTATATGTGCTATACGGAGTCTTATATGCTCTCTGTATATCTACTAGGGAATCTTGTATGCCACCTATATACCCTATAGGGGTTATTATATGCCCCTCTATATGTGCTATACGGACTCTTATATGCCCTTTGTAATATCTAATAGAGAATCTTACATGCCACCTATATATGCTATAGGGCTTGTTATATGCCCCTCTATATGTGCTATATGGACTGTTAC